TCGGGATGTTGCAAAAGTAGATCAAAATATTCCACATGTTGCAATGGCTATGCCATATGTTTGAAGTGTACATTCCAAATGTTTTATCTCTTATCAGATGTATGTTGGAAGTGTTTTCATCTGGATGTTACAAAAATAGATCTGGATGTTGCAAAAATAGATCTAGATGTTGCATATAAATGCATGTTGCAAGCATATATATCAAGTGTTTCAGGTGTTTCATACGTCTGTTGCGAGTGTTTCAGATGCATGTATCAAGTGTTTCATCTGTCTTCTTTTGTATGTTGTAACTGTTGCATATGAATATTTTAAAAGTAAATCAGATGTTGTACATGGTATACGTGTGGAAAGCGGCTGGCGGCGCAGACGACGTACGGGACAGCATGGCCAACGACCGGGGCGTCGTGGGCCCGCTGCTAGGGCGCTTGCTTGCAAGCCCAATGCACTAGGGTGCTCGCTCGCTCGCTAAGTGGGTACCGTCCGATGCTAGCATCACGCATCGGACGTTTAGACGCTAGCAAGTCCGTCGATGGATTGATGCAAAGCAAACCGGCCGGCCTTATACTCGAGAGAGGAGAGTAGGTTATTAGGTCGGCTAACCAACCGTGGGCGCCAGGGGATCCACGGTCATGAAGAAGTTGATGAAGACGCGGTAATACGGCTAGCTGCCCCACCAGCTGTGGCCACGACGTCGGAACCAACCCTGGCATCTCGTCTCGATCGCTCTCCTCGATCGATCCCAAATTCCCAATTGAGTAGCTAGCTGCAAATCTGCACAAGAACATATCGAATTGGTGGCGGCTAGCACATAACTGCCTTGTACGTGTCGTTGCCTCGTTGGCATGCAGTACGTATTCAGATACGTGGGTACGTCGTCCAATCCCAGATTTATACTAGCTATAATATGTACATGGCCGGTTGTTCTTTTCACTTCACAAAACTTGCATCATCAGCGTGCCGTCACTGACGAATTGACTACGATGGTCTAACTAATTAATTAATTAATGCCAATGACTCAAATGAGGATGCAAGGAGGGGAAGGAGTCATTATTGTTGAGGATCAGCCAATACACGGATTGTCAGATCCGTTTTTCCTTCCTCGATCCAAAGAAAGAGACATGGACACTACTGGAAAGATAAAATTTCCTGACGGTGCGATTACCGTCACGAAACTTCAAAAACCGTCAGACAAATGTAAATCTAATATCTCTGATGGTACACCTAAGGGCTAGCTCGACAGGGTAATTGGAAAATGTCTGACGGCGAATCGTCACGGAAAATAATTTCAAATTGCTGACGGTGACCAACCGACAGAACAAAGAGAAAACCGTTAGGGAAAACTCCTTTTCTCTGTCGGTTAGAACTGCCAAAAAAATTGTAGACAACCGACAGGTATAAGGACAATTACCCTGTCGGTCATGAAACCGTAAAAAAATAGAATTTTCCCTGTTAGTGTTTGATTTCCCTGTCGATTTGTAGCTATCAGGAAAAAGGCACTTTTTTGTCGGTGATAAATTCCTTGACAACTGTGGACCATCAGAATTTTTTCCCCTGTCGGTGTTAAACCACCAGGAAAACTATCACCCACAAAATTATAATTTTATATCCTTTTCTATATAATTAAAAACAAATATATTTAATATAATATACCCAAAATGATGGAGACATACCAACATAAATACTACTCATGGATATATAGACAGATTAGTCACATAAATTCATTACATACAAAGATGTCTTGTTTGCATCAACGTAAATACATATAAGATGTCCAAAACATTTAGCACCCATTTAGTACTAGCTAAAGCTCTCAACATCCACACCACTAAGAACTAGCCAAAGGTTAGTACCAACCTAAGTGTATGCACTGGCAAAAGATGAACAACCAACATGCTACACAACCATTCAGTCTTGAAATGAGACCAGCACCAGCACCTCCACATGTGGCTTGATTCTCATAGTTCCTGTTTTCCAATGCAACTCTACTTCTACCATGGAGTCTCTCATCTGCAGATGATCCAGTCACCCTGCTGCATGTGAGTAAGTTGAATAGCAAAACAAAATGACAAAATGAAAGGACTACGAAGTACAAATCCTGCAGTTGAAGTTCCATTTGACCAAATACTACACGATATCTATTTTAGTTATCCACGTGTGAACTTCATTTTCTTTTATTCATCACACTGGTGGGTACCCCAGCAATATTTAAGTAATAGACCTGACATGGAAGCACCGGCACATACACAGTAGGCTCATCACACAGATCTAGCATGTCACATTGATCAAGAGAAGTATTACTAGATCAATACAGAAGCTACTAAGCACTAGCAACACATACACAGTAGGCTCATCACATATATCTCATAGACAAATGATTATCTCAACTACATTAAAAAATAAGAACTTACTTTCTACTTGGTGGATTTTATCATCTCCAAATATGGCATATTCTGTTGCAAAGAAAGGAAAACAGCACACTAGGCATCAGAATCTATAATACTAAAAATCATGGCACAACTGACTAACTGAGAGTGCCACACGCCTAAGGGCCGATCTATAATACTTAATCACTATAGAGAAATGCAAGCCTAAAAAGTTAGCATCAGATATGGAAAACATATGTAACACCTATGTAAGAATTTTATCATTACTTAAAATTGAAAACACATCACAATGGTGCAGTGTGCAGTGCATACACTACTGGAAACTCGAATATTTTAGTGGGTGATGATTTTTTCTGTGTGTTTTTCTCTATACACACAGAAAAATTCATATTTTTCTGTGTGTTTCAAAAAATCCCGACAGAAATATTCAAAAACCCACAGAAAAATTTTGTGATTTTTCTGTGCGTGTCAATACACACAGAAAAATTGACATTATTCTGTCGGTCTTTTCAAAACTCACAGAAAAACTATATACACGCACAGAAAAACTATATACATGCAAAAAAAACCCTAAACATATCTCTAGACGTGGCCGCCCATCCTTATCCCAAACACACCGCCTGCACCCGCCCGATCAGACCACGCCCGCACTCCCGTCGCTCCTAGGTCTCGCAGCGGCCACCCCCTCCTCTCTTCCACCATCGCGGCGGCGACCCCCTCCTCCACCAGTGAGGTCACCACCCCCTCCTCCACTACAACTCCTCCCCTCCCTTCCCTCGGAAGACGGCGGTGGCTGCCTGTGTAAGACCGGATGGTGGCGCCTCCCTCCTCCACACCGTTCAACGGCGCCTCCCTCTCCTACCAGATCCAATCGGTGCCCCTCCCTCCACCCACATCCGACTGGCGCTGCCTCCCTCCTCCAGCCGGCGTCGACTCCCTCCTCCAGATCTGCGCTCACCCTGGTCTTCATCGGGCCTTCGACATTCGCCAACGATGAGCACCCACCAGGTATGCGCCCACCCCTTTGCTCTCCCTTGAAACCGAGCACACAAACCCTAGCTAACGTAATCTATTTGGGTTTTTGTGCTCGGTTTAGGATTCGATTTGGGGGGTGGATCGATAGATCAATGTGTGTGAGCTGTGGTTGCTCAAACCTGGTTCATGTTTAATTAACCTGTCACATGTTTGCTATTTTTAGAATTAAAAGCATGCTCCTGTTTTTAGCATTGTTTGATGGGTGAGGACACATTATATCGTCTCCAAATACTAAAATGCTAAGAATATGCTTGAGAAGCATGCAAGTAAGTTTCATTGCAGTAGAATATTCCTGTGCTGTCCACAAAGAAGAAATTTGCATCACTGATTTTAGTTTCTAGACAGGTAGTGTTTCAGCTTTAGAAACCCAAATTAATTGAGGTGGAAATGGATGTGCAAGAGGATTTGTCCTATGTACTGAGCTTAGCTCTCATCACCCAAATTAATTAGGTAGAGAACAGTTTCACAACCTATCATTTTTGAGCCAAAACTAGAGAACATTAGAACAATGAATTTGGATCTTTGTTTTCTCAAACAAAGCTTTACTTGTTGCTGGTTTGAGTGATTTGACTGGTCAGTGCCTCCGAGTTAAGGTATGCTGTTCAAATGTGTAATTTTGCGTGCTAATCTACGCTGACTGTTTAAGACTGAGACTTTGAGTATTATAAGTGGGTCCTAACTCTAGTAGAACTGTTAATACCTGCGCCTTGTCATCATGTTTTGTTCAGCGCTCATGACCTTTTTTTCTTCTTATTATTATTTTGAGATATCATCACTACTCTGTGCTAGTATATAACTGATCTGTTCCTTTGCACCGCCTTACTTTCTCGAGCCTTCTCGTGCTGATTATTTGTTGAAAGCAATGCTTAATTCAATATATTTGTAAAAGTTGGGTCCTTTAGATGGTGCTTTTGTTGTAACATAGGAGTAATTGTTGTTTCTCCTCTTTTTTCAAGAAATAAAACCCCATCTCAATAAGATCCATTTGTTTCTTAATTTCCAGGCTGAAAGTGCTACTGCTGCACTCAACTGCAGTGGTGTGATACTGGGATCCTTGCCAATAAGGTTAAACTCTAATCTTTTGACATTATTTAATTCTCAATCTATCTTGGGTTAGCGTTTCACATTACTTAATTCTCTGTTGTACTAAAATGCTATGTATGTGTAGTCATTTCCATTGTCACAAGACCATTACTGAACTGTACCTGCATCTATTTTGGTCTACATATTTTTTTAGACATCTTTCTCATATAAGAAAACTTGCCCATTCTACCATGTTAGCTTTTTGTTATTGCATTCATGTGACAAACCACTCAAGATTACTCAACTTCTCACATGGAATATTATGGGTTCAACTTCTAGAAGAATGTTCTTCTCCTCTATTGTTAGTTCAAACCGTTGTCTTGGTGGAGGTGGACCCCTCTCATCCGGTCTCCTTGGTGGTCTCCCAGGATTGTTTCTTTGGCTACTCCAGTTACCAGATTTGGCTAACCATCCATCTGCTTTCCAATCCTTGTTACTAGAATCAGCTGTCTCTTTCCATTGAGCAGTACCTTGTGAGTTCTCAGCAGGCACAACATTCTAGCCATCCCAAGAATCTAATTCTTTTGGGACTTTCAGATGCTCATCAGATTCCATCTTATCTTTCTCACCCCAACTGGATCCTGCATTAGACTTGGCATTTGGTCTTCCAATTCCATCTCTAGCATTCCAAGCAAAGCCTCCCTAATCAGTAGAATTGTCCTGCACCTTAGCATGCACTTCCCATGAATTATCTTGATCTGCTGGCTTTGTAGCCGCTCTACCTCCACTACTCTAGCCTCCCCAATCAGTGGAATTGTTTGTCACCGTAGCATGCACTTCCCATAAATTATCTTGATCTGCTGGCTTTGCAGCAGCTCCAACTCCACTACCCCACCTCCCCCCAAACCGAGAATCATTCGTAGCACTAGCATTTTGTTCCCAACTTGAGTTCATTGTTGTGCCATTTTCCCATGAGCTGCCTTTTCCTAATATTTTGCTCTCCAACTTAAGTATTATACAACACCTCGTAATATCTAATTAACCCAATCAAACTAGAATAGACATTGATCCTAAACAAGGCAAGATCTACCAATCCCCGTAAGTCCTTGGGTGGGGAATAAATGTCCTCAGCAGTGTTGCTTGCAAATCAAAACTGCTGACTTAACCATTAATATTAAAACATGCTTGGTTGACAAACCTGCACAATTTGATTGAAGGCACATGAGATGCCAATAAGTTCCCTCACTTGCTGAATGTCATATGGAATAGACCTCCGTGTGTCAATGAGGTCAAGTACAGGTAAGCAGGCATCAATTGTTGTCCTCCAGGCATCACCATTGCTTACAGCATCATCTTTTTCAACAATGATTTCTAACGCCGGCTCACCCTTTGATTGCAGCGTCGAATCAAACTCCATCTACATTGAAGGGTAAGCTTGATTTCTTTTTCCATGTCAGGTCTTTGCTCCAATTTTTAGTGGAGTTACAAGATTATTGGGGCCTTGGTTGAAATAATGCATGATTTAGAATTCTAATATTTATTATTGTTATATATACACCACATCAAGAGTTCCTGACAATAATGTACACAAAGATTGCTGCAAAGAAGGTAAATGATAGGCTGATTTTCTGATCTTCATTTTACCCTTCTATGCAGTTCAACTGTTGGCATTAAATCTTTGCCTTCTCATATGCTTGGTATAGTAGACTTGATATGTCTCTTTTTAAGACAAAAAATCTCCCCTAATACATGTTCCTGTTCATTAATGCTATCATATTCTTCTAAATGAGCAGGACTGGTGTCTCCTCCGCTTATTCCTCAATCTGGATCACTTATAGATTCAGTGTACTCGGGTATTGCACTATTTAGACTACATGTACTGCTATTCTAGCATGTCTTATTACAAGCTTGAGTTGTCTAAATGCAATGCTGCTCGCTTTGGTATTTCTATTATAGCACAAGCACGATAATGTACGAACTTTACATTTTTGTTAACTTGTTAGGCAAAGGTTGTTTAGCAGTTATATCAGTTAGATGTTAAGTTACTAGCAATGATTTCATGAGCATTTTTTATGGGACTGCAGTCACATTTCTTTATATATTTCCTTCTACAAGTGTGCTCTGTCAATTGCATTCATTTAATCAGATGTCATTTGTTTGTCCAGTTACTATCCTTCTATGTGACACTATTGCTGATATATTTCGTATCTTAGGTTGTGATGTTTAACGTTATTGTATGTCAACATTGTTGCCAAAAGTAATGAATTCTTTCAACATTGTTGCCGTCTTTTATGCTAAGTGCATTGTGGGATCCTCCCAGATACACTAGGCTCTTTTTCCTGAGTGATTAACCACTACACCTCTAGTTATATCAACAGTTTAATACGTTATTTGTGAAGCAAAATATACATATCGTTGAAAGTAAAAGCCGCTGCTCACTAGCTGTCTCTGTATGTGGTTCTTCTAACTAGACACATTTTGTGATGCATTAGAAACCTGATGCCATTCTATATTAACAATGTAATATACTAGTGCAATTGGTTTCATAGAATTTTATCATGTGCAGTACCTTGAGCTAACTCGTTCATTTTAACAGATGGTATAACATACTACTTTGTTACTAGTAGCAAGTCAAAAGGAATACAGGCGGCTCAGACGAGTAAATCTATAGATATGCTTCATCTTCAGACCCCAACCATCACTCCACCAAAGTCCCCGTTCAACTTCAAGCCCAGCACCTCCATTCTTGATTAACAGATGGTGATGGAGTGCTGATTGACAGTTTCTTTCATAGCAGCAGTTAATTCTTTGATTCTTTCATTTGCTAGCGGGTCCATCAGTAATGCTTCGTTTCTTTTATCTGATAGCAGGTCCCTTCGAGTACTGTTTTTGTGTATTATTTGAATGAAACCTTGTTGGTCATGCACATAAATTATTGTATGGAAAATATATATTTTAATATGCTGTTGCTACTGTTTTAAAATAATTTTTTTTGTGCGTTTAACTCTTTTTTTCTGTGAGGCTAGCTACACAGAAATATTATTTTTAATCTGGGCGAAATGAATTTTTCTGTGAGTTCACCTAGACCGATAGAAAAAAACATGTGTTTTTCTGTGCATTTATTTCTTTTTTCTATGTGGATTAACACACAGAAAAATTAGTTTTAATCTGGGCGAAAACAATTTTTCTGTGTGTGTGAGACCCACAGAAAAATTGTTTCTGACGGTTCTGTGGGTATTTTTCTGAGGGTACACCATCAGAAAAATATTTTTCTGACGGTATTCGTATTTTTCTGTGTGTTTTCGCACACACAGAAAAAAACGAGATTCCAGTAGTGATATAACAAACAGGCCCTTGAGTGAATCATCAAAAGATGGATGCTCTGCAACAGCTTAAAAAATGTAGCATATACACTTCGTATCTAGTGAAATTTTGTGAAAATAATAGAACATCCTACCTACTAGAAAGCAGTGTATACATAACTATATATAAGAAGAAACACCATACTGCTTGCCAACAGAAGTCCAAACTGCTCAACGCATAGACAATATTATTCACGGTTGGTGGTACTAGTGTCATTGTGTGCAGGTTTTGGTGTCATTCTAGTGTGACAGCAGTGGAAGACTGTATGTATGTTTGTCTGTCGGCACTCACAAAATCAATATCCATCTAAAGAAATTTCAGAAGGCAACGTACCTGGTGTGACTTAAATGCAGGATTGGCGCATGCTGTCATGATCGGCTTAATCAGACCTGAGCATCAGTGAAATGAGTAGGCTATCATTAGCAAGGTTTTTATTGTTCCTCAGATCTCGACGGAACAGCTCCTCGGATCTCCCCGCGTGGATGAATGATCTTCTAGTTCCAGCCAGAGAGAGAGGGGTCACCGCGATGCCAGAGGCTGGTAAGAGGAGAGGTCGAAGGTGTACCTCTCACCATCGACGGCTTAGGGTTGCGCCAGATCTGAGTGAGAGCCGCGTGGCCGCCCCGCGAGCGCCGCCGATCTCCATCTCCCCGAGCGCCGCCATCGCATCGTCCTCCTCCTGCCACCTAACTCTGGTAGCCCCTGCACGCCACCACGGAGCGCCGGACGGCCATGAGCAGTAGCTCCAGCACCGCTGCCCGCCGCCGCCGCTCCTCCTCTGTGCCACCTCCGCCGGCGCCTTGCACCTAAGGTCCGGCGTCGCTCGACGTCCGTTGCACGCACGCTCGGGTCGCCGCCGCGCCGTGGGAGCCACCACGGCCATGCGTTTCATCTCTCTCTCTCCCTAGATGCCGGTGGCTGCTGGGTGTAAGGAGGAGAGGAGTGGGAGTGAAGAGAGTGGGGGCATTAGGGTTTGGCCGGGTTTAATATGAGTTTGTTTTCAGCCGGTCAGATCTCAACCATCCATCTTAGATCAATGGCTCACATCGCTTGGCCATTAGGGTTTCCCTGTTTGGGCCATTACTGGGCTTCGAGGAGCCACACGGGCCTTAGTAGGCCATGCGCATGAAGCACGAATCATGCGCTGTTTTGGGCCATTTTCGTGTTAAGGGCCGAACTGACTTTCTTATTTTCCAAAAAATAAGTTTCTTTCATTATTTTTAATATAAGTGCATTATTTAATTGTTTTATTTAAAGTTTTGAGCTCATAATCCCCTCCTCTTGTTTAGCTTTTCAGCTTAAGTTTATTCTCAGCAACTCAATTATTTTTCAAGTACATAAAATAAGTTTTTCTCACATGGTTTGCTATTTTTTACGGTTTAAATTAATTCTTCGCAACAATACAAAGTAATTAAAGGTTGAACTGAGGCTACGCCAAAACTATAACTTGGGTCTACATTTGAGCTCACATCCTAAAAATCAATAAAAAATTAAGTGTTTTGTTGAACATTACTCAAAGTACTATTTGGGTAACTCCGATGAAAAAAATTAATAGTATCATAAAGTGGTTTAAAAATTCTAAGAACTAGTATTAAGGGTGTATAAGCTTGTTATAAAAATTTAAATCATTTTAACAAAGTGGTACTATACATTGTTCACAAATGGACACATCTCTCATATAGTTTAGAACTATATGAGAGAGATGTACCATTTGTGAGCAATGTATGGCACCTCTTTTTAAAAAAATTGAAATTTTTATTGGTACATTTTACACCAAAAACATATTGTCATGCAAGTTTGTAGAATTTTCTAACAAAGTTTCAAATTATTATAATTACTTTATATTAATTTGAAGATCGAAGGATGAATTATCCATACCAAACAAATGACTTTTTTCATCCATCTCTGGATATGGCCTTGGCCTAGAGTGAAACAAATGAGCATAAATACAAATTTTATAATGTTTTTGGAATCTTATTGGAGGCACTGTTCAATTTGAAATTACTTTCGATAAACGTGTAGAAATTCATTTAGACTATAAAAAAAAGAAAATTGGCTCCAAAAATTTTGAAACTTCTACACCATAGTATGTATGTAGCCTATTTTATGTACAAAAAAATTTAGAGTATGAAAGACATTTTTTAAAGGTTGTTTCACAAGGTGCTTTCTCTATATACATGAATAGAAAACAAACTTATGCAAAAGAACCAAGAAACAATAATTGGTATCCAAACAAATGTTGTTAATTGGTAGATCATGATTTTATAAAGAATTAGGAAAAAGAAACATATCATTTGGAGTTAGCATGAGGGAGAAAAACTAGTTACAAAATTCCACCACAGATTAAGAGGAGAAAACCTTTTGTTCATGTTCTTGAGTTTCTAGAATTTCCTTGTGTGTTTTTTAGAAATCGTCAAGATAATGCTATTTACCCTGACGGTCTGTGCAATAACCGTCAAAGAAAATATGAAACCGTCAGGGAATTATGAATTTCCCTGACGGTTATGTGCACCCACAAGCTAATTAGGAATTCCCCTGATGGTTATTTAATTTCCCTGTGTGGTTTCTAGAAATCATCAAGATAATGTCAATTTTTCTGTGTGTTTTTCAGAAACCGTCAAGATAATGTTTTTTCCTTGATGGTTTATGCATGCAATAACCGTCAAAAAATTCGAAACCGTTAGGGAATTTTAAGTTTCTAGTAGTGGTAGAAGTTATAGATAGATCATGTCTCTCTTTATCCTAGTCCTCAACAATAACACACATGAGAAAAGTATGTGAGGGAAGCCATTTCTTCATTGGAGTTTATAGGTACACATGTAGTCTTATCCTAGTCAATAAAACACAAGAACACACATGAGAAAAGTATGTGAGGGAAGCCATTTCTTCATTAGAGTTTATAGGTACACATGTAGTCCCTTTATGCAGACATAACTTTCAGGGAGTTGTTATCTTTATGGGAAGATCATTTCTCACAAAAGATAATATTACTATGGGATCTAAATATTGCTCCTTATGGATTTTCAGAACCTCTTAACTGCATATTTTAATTTA